AAAAGAATGTGGAGAAGACGACTACCATCGAAACATGTATAAAATAGAGCAAAGAATGGATTTTTGGCAGCCCATCAAACTTCATGTGAGCCATATTTGAACAAGCAGGATTTCGCCTTCTAACTCGCCCATTCTTGATCCCACGAATTCTCTTTCTGGTCTATCTGCGAGAAAAAAGACCCCTCTTTCAAATACGGACCACAGACTTGCGAAAAAGTGACCCAACGAGAGCCGTGCACGAAAGTCCGCAAAAAACCATTGCATGCATTGTGGAAATTTCTCTGAAGAGAATAAATTCTCTTATCAAGGCCGGAAGCCAGAGCCATAGCTGGTCATTTGACTCGCTATGGCTTTGCAGACGGGAATTCAAAGATCTGATGGGGTACGGGTACCAAACGTGCATTTTACACCCAGATTTAGCTCTTTGTTTCCTGCATGAAAATAAATTTGAGTAAATTTTTTTACACAGCAGCAGTCCATATACGGCTGCAGCCGGCTGCGAAAACAAGCTATGGAAAAGCCCATTCTGCAGGAGGAATTTTCTTATAAAAACACATTTTTCGAACTATGACAATACTTCGGGCGCTAAACTGTTTTTTTTTGCTGGAAAAGTATTGTGTCATAAGGATTTTCTCGTAAAATGACGTTTTCGCAAATTTTTGTTCTGCACGTGTCAGCTTGAAGCTACCCACAATAAATAATGGATATTATAAGTTACATGTTTTGACAGATTTTAGCTAGCTAGCGACGCCTCAACCGTTTTTTGAACCCGACACAAGATTACGATATTTCAAGTTTGTTTAAGCTTGTAGTTGGCTTGAAACTTATTGTTAGTCAAATCAGGCTTGTGGATAACAAATTGAGTCTAAGCTCACAAAATTGCACTCCGCAAATTTGCTGAGTTGGAAGGAGTCCTGGAGTAACCTACTGAATTGAGAAGAAAATGCTTACCTTCGATCTACAACGCCAGCGCAGAGATTGCAAGTGAAGTTGCCATTTTGGAAGCGCGATCTCATCTGAACTGACAAACCGTCAAATCGATGTCCTACGGAAACGGTGACCTCACTTTTATTGATGTGCTGGTAAAATTGAGGAAAAATAATAAGCGAAATTGAATCAAAAGGCACCATTAAGTATGATTAAGATAGAGTAGGTCTGGTATAATGACAAGTTTATGTTATGAAAGAACACAAATGATCCCAAGGAGCGATTATAAGCGATGTATAAGAAAGAATGAAAGCAAAAACATTGAAGAAAAAGGCACCAATCAACAAAAAGCAATCACCAAGAGAAGACGACTATTTTGCAACATCACTATCATACACCATGCGGCGTGCATTGGGGCAAAATCGCAGTAAAATCCGGTCAAAACTAAATTCATGTCTCCCGACGGTGCACCGGATTTTGGTGCGATCAGCCATTTTGTGGGCGGTCCACCTGCGGGTGACAACGGCGAATGTCTGAGTTCTCAGACACTCGCACCGGCCGGCGACCGGCCGACGACGGCCTTCCGGCCATAGGTGCGATAGGGGGAGCCGGGCTCTTCCCAGGTGAAGGGGGTCTCGGCTGTTCTCGACCTTCCAGGGTGAAGGGGGTATGTGAGTCTAGGGGGGGGGGGGGTGGAGGAAGAGAGAAAAGGTAAAAAGCGTGGTATGAAGAGCTCTAATTTGTACCTTATTTAGGCACAAATTGAAAAAAAAATAAAAAATTTTAAAAGAAATCAAAATTTTTTTTTTAAAAATTGACTTTATGAAGATCTGTGCTCCTGTTTCATTGCATCAACAAAAAACGAAAGCAATAAGGTTTATCCCAAAAGATGTACAAGCTAGGAACAACTTCAATTCCTGCACATCATCATCAACAATATCACTATCGCTAACGTCAGAGACAACAAGTTCGCTGCCTGAAAAATCTTCTTCTTCCTCCAAAAGGTCATCGGAGTAGAAGTAGAATTGCGTGCAAAAGCGTTCTGAGTCGAAAATGGATTTGGAACTTTCTTCTTCTTCTAAGCGCTTTTGTGAATTTTTTCCTGGCCCTCTGGTAGCACCAGGAAAGTTAGCAGGTAGGTGACCGTTTCTTCATACCATCTTTTAAGAAATTTCAAAAAGTCGTACGGTAACAGCCTATCTGGACCACTTATACCAATTCTTTAAATGAAGTTTTTAGATAACAATATGTTTATCGTTCATTCGTTGACCGTACGGACTGCCGACCGCGCGACGACTGCGACGCATGCCTTTTAACCTCGTGAAAGAGTGACAAGTTGGACCGTGGCTAAAGATAAGGAGAATTCTTTGTTTCTTTTCTACATTTGTGATCTTTCCGTCGTTTTCAGGTGCATGTCGTCTATAGCAGTTCCGTAAACGTCTGCGAGCTTGGAAAACCTTCCTGACCGTTCGTATAAAGCGTTTTGTGATCGTCGCTCGCTGTCTTTGCGTAGTTTCGCTCTTATGGTTTAAGATTTTTCTCTGTTTACCTGCTCCCGGTTCTCGTTTTCTATGTTTGTCGCGTACTTCTCAATTTTGCATCATTTCAGTTGGATTTCATCATTCTCACGCACGTGCACAACCATGTATTCGTGGGGGCGACCTCATAGTACGAGGATATTGTGAGTTCCTTCCTTTTCCTTTCCTTTCTTTACTTGATGCCCTCCCTCCTCACTGATGAGTTCCGGGGAGGGCTTTTTTTACTCATTTTTGCTCCGTCTAAGGGTAGGAACGAAACGGAGGCTACGTTTTTATTTTTTTTATTCAATTCTTCTCTAAGTTTCGTTTTCTGTTGTCCTCTGCCTATTGATTCTATGATTAGACTGAATACTGCTCCTCCTTGTGTTGCGCTTATTGCTAATCTCGTAATTTATGTCTAGAGGGGTTTCGTCTCGAATGATTGTGAAGAGGTGAGTATTTTCATACTATATTTCAAGGTTTGCGCAAATTTTGAAGTCCGCTTACTGTATATGTCGTGTCGGAGTTTTGGAATAGGTCGTGATTGCTATATTCGTAAAAATTTGATTTATGTGGCTCAACAATGACAGCGCTAGAGAGGTTGCCTACCATCGGTGTCACGTCTTCAGGAGAACGTGTTTCCTTTGGTGGAGTGACTTGTGCAGCGCTTAATTTGCCACAGATGGTGTTTATACATGCTGATGTCCTGATCACAACATCAACGCGAGAGTATAGCTCAAAGGTATGAGCTTTAGGCCCCGGGCAGACTTCACGCGATTTGATCGTCGCGACTGAATCGCGAGGAGACAACTGTTACAACATCATTCGATGCTGATCAACTTTCATTCGGTTGTGATACTTTTCCAGCCTGAAATTTTTGAATGTGAAATGAAAATAAATGGAAATCTTGGCGATTAGATCGCGACGATTAAGTCGCGTGAAGTCTGACCGGGGCCTTACACGACACATTTCCAAAATCAACTCCAACCAAAGCAGCATTGCTAGAAAAGGGTATATTTTCCCTCGTAGCCGACTTTGCTCATCTAAATCGCAATAAACCTTTGTGCGAAGTCATGCCGCTTTCTTATAAGGAAGGTTTCCACTCAAAGAGAACTAAAATAGTTACATTCCATTCTACACAGTAACACACACATCAGTAGAAGTCCAGTCACTGATTGCAGATTGATTGTGCAGCAAACCAGTACCTCTGCACATTCACATTTATTATAAGTGCTGTGTATGTGGAAGCGCCAGACAGTGGTCAATATAATGGAGTAAGACGGGGTTATTGTTGCGGTTTATGAGTTGTGATAGAACAAGCACAAGCAGTTTTGCTGAAAAGCTTCGAAATCGCCTTCGTTAAGTTCATTAGATTATGTTCTTTGCAATCACCAAAGGAGAATTTCTTCTTACATGTGACTTGTGATTTCAATCAGTTCAATTGACTTTGTTTCAATTCCTTACACATACGCAATATCTCATGCGAAAACAAGGTCTCGAACTTAGTTTAGATAGACGGCGCGTTCATTGCAGCTAGAGTTTTCGTGATCATTCCACAAGATCAAACTACCACAACTACTTCATCTGTGTAACGGAAGAGAACAGCGATGGAACCCTCAACTTCACGTGATTTCGTGGGTAACGATTCGGTAGCAGTACGATAAAATATGATCTATTTTAGTCAAAAATTGCGTGTCGTCTACTTCTGGGCCAGATTTCGGTCAAAGTGGCAATGCGGTAAATTCGACCACTCTAGATCTGGTGTTTCACCTTCTATATATAGCATTTATTGTAGAATGACTCTAACCTACACTCTGATGAGCAACCAACCTCGCGCGGAGTGCTAACGGTTCAGAATTTTATGATATTCAACAGTGATTGCCTGCGCTTAGAGTGTTATAGATTCAGAGCAGCAACATCGAAAATGTGATCAGCGGTGAAAACGCGGAAATGCAGATTCAAACGACTGTAAGTTCACCAAGATATGGTCCGCTACATCTGTTACCGTATCACATTTTGGGTTCGAAGAAACGACAAGGATGAAAAACTTGGTCGTGCATTGCGAAGATTCAAACTGAGCATGCTCGAAAACCTGATGGACGACCCTATGTACTCAACGAACCAGGAGCCACGAAAACCCATGTCTAACAGAGAGGTGGCCATGATCAGGAGAGTGGGGCTTTTTGCGAAGAAATTCACCGCAGATTAGGAGAGAACGCTGTCGAGACGATTTTTCATAAACCAGCAGATCTAAAAGCGACTATTTGCGGAGTGTCACGTTCCACAGTATTTAAATATCGTAGCCACTCCCCACAGCAACGCGAGCCCGCGGAGAACAAAATAAAAAACCGAAAAGCCTTAAGGAAAGAGGCGGTCCAGAGGTACGGAGAAGAATGGGGAAGTGTAGTTCGCCATTTCGTACACAGAAAGCTCCGCAACGAGGAGTATTTTTCAATAGACAGTCTGAGAGAGGAATTGGCGAGCAATTACCCTGAGTTTCCGCTTGGTAAAACAACATTCTACCATTTCTTTAAAGGAATAGGGTTCACATTCAGGATGACTACAGGGCAGCCCATAATTTTGAGGCCGGATTTGATCAGGAAGAGGCACGCCTATTTATCTGCCATAGAGCAGGCACGAGCAAGCAACCATTGTCTCATCTATATGGATGAGACATGGGTGTTCGACTGTATGTCGAAAAAAAGAAGCTGGGAAGACACCACAATAGCTCGTTTCGCCCCTGCCGCCGTCCTACAAGAGTATTCTTGTGGACGGGCTATGACAAAAAACAAAGGCAAAAGGGCGATAGTTATTAGTGCCATTAGCAGGGAGGGAATCATCCCTGAGTCTACAAAAATCATTATCAGCGGGATGAGGTCAGTAGAACAGGATTATCATCGTGATATGAACCACGAGATATACGAAAATTGGATTCGCGATACGATCACGCATATGAAGAGAATCGCTAACGGCCGCTGCGTATCATTAATTGTTGATAACGCCCCCTATCACAGCCGCCAAGCACAAAAGGTAAAATTACAACTAAGATAATATGCTCAATTACAAAAAAAAATTGAAGCTGCCCTCACAGTCATCCACAAAGGCTGAAATAGCAAGCTACTTACGATCGAATGATGTAGCAGTTGCGGAGAACAGCAATAAAACCGAATTGCTAGAAAAGGTAATGGTGGTCCTAGAAAAATTTTCGTTAGAAAAATTGCGCCTCGTTTACTTCTAGCTCAATGAATTCATGTCCAGCCGAGGAGGTCGAGACGGACTGCGCAAGTATGTGGTGGACGGCATCTGTGCTGATCTAGAGGTGAACGTGATAAGGCTCCCACCTTATCATTGTTTTTTTAACCCCATCGAAACGTGCTGGAGTCAACTAAAGCACAATCTCACCGCACTCGGCAAACCGGGGGATACCCTGGAAATGGTCACGCACATCACAATCTTGCCAGAAAATAACACATTATTACAGGTAAGGAGAAGAGCGCTGGACTGGTTACGTGCTCTGCCGGCATCACAATGCGCACGGTGGATGGACCATGTCGTTGCAGAAGAAAACGCTGCAAGGCAGAAGATAGTCATAGACCGCGAGGCATCGATACAAGAAGATTGGGGCTCTGACGTTTCCATCTTAAGTGACGAGGAAATCAGCGATGCGGGCGATGCAGATGAACAATGAAAGTGAAAGCCGACGGCCATATTCTTTGTAAATTTATGAGTGTACTTGTTGTTTGAGCTACTTAGCCTGCAAAACCTTTTAATAACGATTTTTATCATATTCTCAGAGTACAATACCAATCTCAGCCCAGGTGAGGGGGGTCATCGGGAGTTTGGCCTCAAAGCGAAGGGGGTAAGATCCATCACTCCCCCTATCGCAACTATGCTTCCGGCCGGCGGCCGCGCCAACTTTAGGGGCGGGGCTAAAGACCGGCCGGCGAGCGGACGAAGTGATCGTGCCGACCGGCGGCCGTTCCAGTGTGCAAATACACGAGAAGCGCGAGGGATTGCGCATACAGTAAAAATAATTTCAAACGTCGCGTAATTGGCGGAATGGCGGAATAATGGCGGATCTCAGCATTTCGTAATGCTGGGGCACGCCTGCAACTTGGCAGCACTTGGCTTTCTTTCAAGCCGTTTTCTTACGTTTCCTTACCTTGCTCCTTCATTGTCGATGCATTGCCCAATACGACCCTCGTATTATGTCAATCAGCAACATAGCAATTCGCTTGTTCAATCACAGAATATATACTAGAGAGGGCATTGCTCTCATTTCAACTGAGTTAGTGTTTCATGTCAGGACTGCTTGCATTTTTATGCTCTCACGATTTGATTTAAATTTTTTCAGAAATGCAGACTATGGCACCCGCCATACTTGATCCTCTTGATCCGCTTAATCCACTTGATCCGCTTGATCCGCTTGATCCGCTTAATCCGCTTCGTGTAAAACGCGCGCACGTAGCAGTCTGTCATTTGGCGCCGCGTAGGTAAAAAGCAGTCTCATATGGAGAAGAACTTAAATGCTGCGAAATGGCAGTTATCATTGGAGCGCGTTTTCGACCTGGGACTTGAATTTCGCCTAGATTCCGCTTACGACGAGCTGCAGTAGGAAAAGAGCACTTTGTGAAGTGTTACTGCATACATATGGTAGTCCCCGTCCAGAGATGAGGAATTCGCCGACATGCTGTTTACGATTGTGATGTCATATGCGTTGAAATAGTGATCTTGCTCAGTTGACGTAAAGCATGCTTTAGATCCAGCGCGATTTCGAAAGGTGATGTCAAGGATAATCAAAGTTAGCAAAAAAAGTCTGACAGTGCAAAATCAACACGATATTTGTGAACAGTTTGTGATATAAGACCCCACCCTTTGCGAAACCGAAATCTAAGTTTATAAATTTCTGTGTTGTATAAAGTGGAAGAGTGTCGATCATTCCTTCGAAGTCATTCGTGTAAACACGTCCTTGTCTAGTGATGGGTTTATTCACCACATTTTCCTTCTGCATAGGATTGCTAAATGGATCACCGAACATACGTTTACTCTGCTTTTTCTATTATTCAAATCGAATAACGAACGGAACGGTCAGAAACAGACAGAACACGTCCTAGAATATGATTGGCTGGCATGAAGTAAAGCACCTGATCTACAACAACTGATAACTAGCGAGCATGTCCACAAACATAATGAGTACGTTCAACCTAGAAAAAAAGAATAACTCAGAGCCTAATAAATCATGGCAGTGTGGCACGTTGAAAAGATGATGACGCAAACGTTCGATATAAAGTGAAGTAAGCATATCCACAGAAGCTAATACTCCTGAAAGAACAACTCATATGTCCTGTTCCTCACTGTACTGCATCTCTAGAATGGCTTCTCCACAGTTTCTGCATTGTCGGTAGCTTACGCAGTCCAAGTGAACCCATATCTAGCAGAAATCGCATTGTATTATCCAATTGATTTCAGTCGCATTTCTCTGCCGGCGTCGTTTCTTAACAGTATCCGCAAATGATCGTTTCATCCTCAACGATATCCTCTACTCCAGCAGCATTTGTTGTTACCATCAAAGACTGCGGCAATATGCTGGCTTCACTCGTGGATGGGGCTAGAAAGAAAAAGCGCTGAACGAAAGATACTCTACCTTCTAAGTTAGAAAAACACAAAGTTTTGAAGATGAAGGGAATACAGATACAAACTGGGCGCTATTCCCAGTATCAGGGTCTCAAAAACTCCAAAGAGTGTATTGCGGCTCGGTCCAGGGGTCATCGACCTGCTGACCACGTATATCGCACTCTTTTTGCACAGCATCATCAGCATCATTCGGTGGTTCCGATGGGGACGCTAGGGGCTCAAAACTCGATTTGGCTGATTCTTGTCTGCTAGGGTTGTTCGCCATTATCATGGATACCTACCTTTTTTGTTCAACCACGTCATCCTCGGTGGTAACCGTAACTTCACCGTATGCAATGAAGTCAGACAACAAAACTCTCAACAACAACAACAAACTTTTGAACAAAAGTTCAGGAAGATCGAAGTTTAATTACAACCGAGTTTCGGCAATGATAAGCCGAAATTCGGTCTCGAGTACATTCAACTTGCTTTTCTCCAACAACGTTGTTCTGCAAAAAACTAGGATGAACAAGTCTAGCATGTGAGAATGGTGGTCAGGTGATGTAAAATCGAAAGTGAGTCACACAACCTCCTGGACTCATATCCACGAAAGTCCATAATGGAGAAAAATGGACTTACTTAGTCCATTTTATTCGTTCGCGTAGAAAGTGGTCGAAATCGGCTCTCTTGCGATATCCAAAATATTTCATCCCATCGCAGCCGCGAGGCAAAGCGGTGAAATGAGAATGATTCAACCTTACTTCAGCTATCGCTCGCGGATGATGACGTCAAAAGTCCATTTTAAAATGGGGCAAAATGGAGTTCATCACTATGTTCATTCACTCTTACCTTTCTGATAAGCCCATTTTACTCCCAGCAGCCGGATTTGCTGGGACTAAGTCCATTTTTAACCTTTTTCCCCATTTTAGACTCCAATTTTTTGCAAGTGTGTTTTTTGGTCTATTTTAGGGTAATATACCAAAGAAAAAAGTTAAAGCTTTTCTGTAAGAGCTTGAAAATGAACTTTTTCTAGAGGTGCATAGAACACACGGAAATTTTGAAATAAGTTTTGGTTTTAACGTAAGTTATATTTTCTAGCTCATCTACTCGAAAACAGCCCATAGAAAGTCCTCAAAGATGATAAAAACGACTTCTCGTATAATGTAGAGTAATAACAGTTGGTTAACCCATGTGATCGAAAGCGCAGCTATATATGCTCATGAATTCATGTTTTACAATCTTTAGTAACACCTTATATACACACAAAAGTTGATACAGACAACTTTGGAATTTTTTTCAGCAAAGTTGTTTCTTACTAGCTTTTTCTGTTTCAAGACGGAAATTGCTCATTAATTCATTCTAAAAGCTGTATCTTAGGTCATGAAATACGGTCTCCTCCGCCTTTATAGCGCCTTCATTTCTCGACTCTTGGTCAAGATACTTTTCTTTATCATTAACCTCGCAAATGCAAATATATTTAACATTGAGCGAAAAGAGATTTGAATCTTTACCCCCGAGCTTACTCTGATACCACTAAAGGCGTCATCGTTATTACAGTGATCCATTACTTTTCCATTCTATTAGCAGCGATAAGGTGAACTGGACTAAGCCCATTTTGGATATTTTGCACATTTTTGAATACGATTTTTTATGGATCTGTCCACAGCCCATTTAGGATGATAGGTAAACGGATAAGGTTCTGACTGTTAGAAAGCCTGAAATAGGTGTTCAATCCAAACTCAACAAAACACTTCAAGAATCATGGAGGAGGGTTGCATTTATTTATTTATCCAAATAAAGTTTCAATCAAGTGAATGCGGATGCAATTTAAAAAATTTACTCGAATTCTGAATCATCAAATCCTAAAAATAAATTCTGGAAAAAAAACCTAATTGCTTGTAATATGAAAAGAAAAGCTTTGCGCTTTACGATAATTATACAGAAGCTATTAATCGTTGACATCTCGGAAAAGAGCTTCAAAGACGGCGCTTCAAGATTCGGGATTTTGGTTTGATCGCAAGATACTGGGGTGCCGCTAGCTGACTCTAATGAGTCTGTAGAAAACTCTTATCAGTAGTACATCGTTCAGGCCTCAATCTCACATGGAAACATAAAACAAGAAATTTGTGAAAAACATCATTCAGGAAAATTGTTTTTGTCACGGCATTTTTTCACCGACACCGTTTGACGCCAAGAAAAGTTGCAGTGTTTACGAATTACCACTCTTTCCCTAGAAACTGAAAATTCTTCCGGTTTTTGCTTTCAATTTTTTTAGATATTTATCTCTCTAAATTGAATACCCTTCAGGCTGTAGTGTGCTACAAGTTTTCTTGAAATTAGAATTCGGCAGCGTTGATTCACAGACAGCAGCACAGCACTAGATAGTAGAAATTTACTTTCTGCAGAAAAACTTTGCATACATTTGGTTTGAGAGAAATCCATGGAAAAAGTTGCAGAAACAAAATTTTGGATATCACTTCCTGAGTAATATTGGAAGCAGTTTAAAATAGTCATCGACAATAGATGGGATCTTGTGAGATGTGATGAGATGGAAAAAAATAGAATTTCCACAATGACAGCGTTTTATTAGGTCTAGTTTGGCTAGACATCAACTAGTATGGTGGGAATGAGTTCACAAGAATAAGTAAACAGGTTGAGACAAGCTACAAAGGGTTTCCTAGAGCATTATTGTATGGAATGAATGATTTCGCGGAAGCGATATCTTATCGCACTGCATGGACTAAGCCCATTTTATTCGCGTTTCATTTGCGAAAAGCCCATTTTTAAATGGACTTTCGTGGATATCATCCCTGATTGAGCCTCTCATCGTACATTATCTAAACACCCAATGACGTTTTCAAAGCATAATGTTTCGATCAGCATGGTCGACACTCCCGATAGACTGAGCAACAGCGCCGAGAACTGGTCATGTCTTGCCACTTTTTTCGACAAAAAGACAAATTACCATACCAGTAGTCTCTGATGCTCTCGTCCAGCTTGTTTTTTTTTCATGTTTAGTCGATCCGACAGAGGAACGCCGCTTCTACCGGACATTTTTCCACAAAAATTCCACTCTGGAAAGTGAACAATAGAAACATCTACAGAATCACAAATAACGAGCAAAACCGAGACAGTAGAGAACATCTAAAAGGGGAAAGGTCCACGATGGGAGACGGCCCTTCTGAATCGCTAGCATTAGCAACCTAATTACTGCGCGCCTCTGATTGGTCGGCGCAGCCGCTTGGGTAGGCGAGAGCTATGCTGCCGTTAGAGACGTCGGAATTGGGCTGCAAAGACATTCTCAGATAAAAAGAATTGAACAAGATTTTGAGTTTCTTATGAAACTCAAAAATGCTATACGTGGGCGGCTTAGGTAAATTCCCCAGCTTACTGCGCAGGATCATGGTGTTTTGAAATGTGGGAAGGGCGAAAAAATCACGAAAGGCCAGTAAAAAAATGCAACTTTTCCAACTTTTAGTCTTCATAATTCAAACATCGTCACTCTCGTTATTCGAGTGCTCGCTTGCTTTGGAATGCTCAGAAATATTAGAAAACTCTTACAGATTATAATAAGGGCGGAGTAATTAGCCCGCCCAGGCAGAGTAATTAGCGCTAGGACGAAGCGGTTCAGAAGGGCATACACCCGTCCACGATTCATGCAAGGAAAAGAACACATGTTACGAAACTGGAGCACAACGCTAAGTTCTGAGATAAAAACGCGCTCCAATGATAACGGCCATTTCGCAGCATTTAAGTTCTTCTTCTTATATGGTTAAGCAAATTCGCTGTGCCTGACGCCAAATGACAGACTGCTACGTGCGCGCGTTTTACACGAAGCGGATTAAGCGGATCAAGCGGATTAAGCGGATTAAGTGGATTAAGCGGATTAAGAGGATCAAGTATGGCGGGTGCCTATACAAGAGAGAGTTTTGGATAGTTTTGCGGCTTCAGTTTTATGTGGTCTACCTGCTTCTCCAATACTCCTACAAGAAAATCAAAGAGATTGGTCATTGAATGCTGCGATGTTTTCTCCTCTAACCCAATCCTCATTTGAGGTTTTCGGAGTGGCGGCTGATATTGCTGACATCCCAAATGGACATGTTAGAATGTTCATCTATTATCTGGAAGAAATTGCAGAAAGAAGTGATTTTGTGCTAGCAGAAGGACATTTCGAGAGCATCGAGCTAATGAACAATTCACAGTGTAGTATTTACTGTATTGAAAGAGTAAGCTGCAAATACTTTTGATTTCTGTATCTTTGCTATATTTATCTTGATTTAGATGTACTGTTTGTTTTATTGCCTGAACCTTTCTACAGCTATAACATCAGTGAATACCCATTCATTTTTGTACCATTGTTTGAAAAGGTAAGTTTATTAATGAGTCTGTGATTGGACTTATTACTGTTTTTCACTGTTTAGGCATTGGCTGTAGCCGAAGTGAAACGAAGTGATTTTATGAAGTTTGCTGAGACCTTGGAGAAACAACCGCAACCAAAAACCTACTTTTCACGAACACAGCTCGCTGTGGTAGTTACGTTGTTAGGAGAAATGCTACACAGGTAATGCTACAGCAAGGAACTTTTTTTCTGTTAACGCTTTTTAGTCATTGTAGATACTTCTATCCCTGCCGCTAATAGTTTATTCTACATTTTTACGACTTTTATTCTTAGAGTTTATTAGTCCATGCTTTACTTCAAATGGTGTGACCGCTGCTACCAGTTTTAGCAGATTTACCGCCGACCGCAAATTAGAGAAAATGAAGCGACAGATGGAGATTCGCATCACTGGAGAGCCGCCCGAGAACGCCGGAATTTCTCTGATCAACTGCAAAAAAGATTGGATACTCGCGGGACCACCTCCCTTTATTAATGTATATTTCACAAAAGAGTCAATTCGGACGAATATAATTGTTAAGGTTAACCTCAACGATCTGGGTAGTGGGACACTTGGAAGCCGGGAAGAAATCAAAGACATTATTTCAACGATTTGCCGCTTTGCATCGACTCATCCTTCAAAAGGTCGGCTCGATAGTAACACTACTTTTTCGCTCTTGAGTACTTTATTTAGATGACCGACCCGCGCCATATCGCATACAGGAATACGCGATACGAGAAAATAAAAAGGGCGGACGAAATAAAAATCTTCAAAATCTACCAGGTGTGGTAGGAAATATGCTCATGGGTGAGTCGCCTAGTAGTTGCATGTGGGGGAGTCTAATTCTTATTTGCAGATTTCATGGGCGGACGAAATAAAAATCTTATCGGTGATGTTCCAGACGGTCGTCGGACGGTCGCCGGCCGGTGCGAGTGTCTGAGTAGAGAAACCATTATCCGTCGGAATCCGCTGACCTAAGCTACAGTATATAACTAACGCGAACACAAAAGGCGACCCAGCTGCCTCTTACCTTTCCTTTGGCTACATATCTTACTTATCACATCATTAGATTATCCTGAAACTAACATATTGTCATATTTACTCTATGATCTTGCCACGTTACTAGAAATTCTCCTCTCTTGGATACTTTCTCGATATACCATAACGTACAAATGCGAAGGAATTGATGTTTCTCTAGGATATCTCATAGAATGTATCATTATCGAGATATCCCAAAACTTTTCGCTGGAATAATAAAAGGGTTTGATTTGATGAAAGAAGAACCTCTGCTTTCAGTCCCTGTCCAAACTGTCACGTGTACATTGTCTAGGGATATGAAGTCGTCCTTACCAATTATGGTCTTGTTTTGATATATTATATATCATTCTTATCGTTAGCAACAAAAGCAGATCTCATAAATGATACTTCTACGTCATCCATCAACCTAACCATTGCTATCAAATCCGGGTCCCCATTCATTGCTTGAATGCAGATGGAGAAATGATTAATTATACGACTCAGAAGATAAGCAAAACAACAATGCTAAATGCAGGGCCATTTTATGTTGTTGCTAAGTAAGATTAATGAAAAGGGAGTAGCCGGGTGTCCTTTTAGGTCGCGTTAGCTATATACTGTAGCTAAGGTCAGCGCTGGATTCCGACGGATAATGGTTTCTATTGCCTAGCAGTGTTACTGCGCTATGCAAAACTAAAAAGTTCGTATGCTGATTCTCTAACGGTGACACTCCACTCAGAGTAGAATCGAGTGTTAGTGTAGCTTCTTCAAGGTCATGCGCAGACGCGTAGCCCAAATTGAGATCATCTCATACAAATATAGTCGGTTTCATCCCGGATTAGGCGAAACATTCTGCGTGGAGCAATGCGTGCGCATTGCTGGAGGCTTCGCGAGCGCATAGCGCTGGCACTTTGCCGCAAAGACTGTATGTGAGGAAAATGAAGAGACACAGGCTTGAGTTCTCGGCGCGATATGGCATACTGTAGCTGCGAAACGGCGCGAACCGTTGCGGGGCAGACGTTCGCCAATCCAGTTTCCGCCCAGAGCGTGTCGGAACTTACTGTACGTGGGGCTCCCTCTGTGGTGCAGGAGCTGTGGCGGCGATGGGACGGCGCCAAATCGGGTAGAGGGTGATTATATGTCGCCGAATGTATGAGGGTCCGACGCGGACATCTTGCAAAACGCACTCCCATGCATGTGAAAAGGTGCGTATTCGTTGCGGATGACCGCGGGCCCTTCCCATTTCGGCGACATTTGGTCCTCTACCCCGCCAAGGCAGCGTCGTAGGGTCTCGGCGCTGTCGCTAACTTCGAGTTACATGGTATTTAGTGGGGCGGGCGTATAGAGGACGTCGTTCCCAGCCAGGTGATGATCGGAATTTCGATCGAAAGCTTCGGTAGCGCTGTGCAAAGGGTATGCGTTGTCTCAGCGCCGGCACAGCTTCAGCATCTAGACGGAGCCCAAGGGCTTAGCCATACCCTCTATTTCAGTCCCTAACATCTGCAACAAGAGTGGAAGTGGCCGCCTCGCTAAGGTCTGCGCTACGTTTGCGAATGCATCGTTTGGCGACGCATGGCAAAAGCGCGGCGCGAGCTTTTTCACGTTCTTCACGTTTTCGTGTTTTGCCGGCACGTCGTGTCAAGTGATGCATCCGCAGACGAGGCGCAGATCTTAGGGTTGTTTCATACTGCCGCACTGACTGCAGCAGTCCGCAGCTGACTGCACTGACCGCTGCAGACTGCTGCAGACTGCAGCTGACCGCACTGACCGCAACGGCCGCACAGAGCATGCTTTCGTAAAAGAGAAAACAATTGCGATTATGTCAAAATACCGTGATTTACGCCTAGGAAGTTTATATATGAACCTATAGGTTCTAACTTACTCTTTTCAATCAAATTTTGGCGATTGTTTTTCACTGGTATGCTTATATTTGTTCTGATTCTCCCTTTATTGCATATACCTGTTTTACTTTCGTTCATGTTGTCTTTTGGATCGAAGCATATATTGTTTGTGATTGTTTGAGCTACAACTATTTATTCTCTCCACCTTTACGGAAGAATACAGCGATCTATGCGGCCCTTGCGGTCAGTGCGGTCATTCAGTCTGCTGCAGTCAGCTGCAGTCAGCTGCGGTCAGTGCGGTCAGCTGCAGTCAGCTGCGGTCTGCTGGTTCTAACTTACTCTTCTCAATCAAATTTTGGCGATTGTTTTCCTTTAATATGCCAATATTTGTTCTGATTCCTTTTCTCATTGCATATCCCTATTTTACTCCCGCTCGCGTTTGTCTTTTGGGTCTAATATATTGTTGTTGATTGTTTAGGCTACAACTGTTCATCCTCTCTACCTTCACGAAAGGAGTAGCGATCTGTGCGGCCCCGCTGCCAATGCGGTCGCTGCAGTCTGCTGCAGTCTGCTGCAGTCAGCTGCGGTCAGTGCGGTCTGCTGCAGTCTGCTGCGGTCTGCTGGTTCTAACTTACTCTTCTCAATCAAATTTTGGCGATTGTTTTCCTTTAATATGCCAATATTTGTTCTGATTCCTTTTCTCATTGCATATCCCTATTTTACTCCCGCTCGCGTTTGTCTTTTGGGTCTAATATATTGTTGTTGATTGTTTAGGCTACAACTGTTCATCCTCTCTACCTTCACGAAAGGAGTAGCGATCTGTGCGGCCCCGCTGCCAATGCGGTCGCTGCAGTCTGCTGCAGTCTGCTGCAGTCAGCTGCGGTCAGTGCGGTCTGCTGCAGTCTGCTGCGGTCTGCTGGTTCTAACTTACTCTTCTCAATCAAATTTTGGCGATTGTTTTCCTTTAATATGCCAATATTTGTTCTGATTCCTTTTCTCATTGCATATCCCTATTTTACTCCCGCTCGCGTTTGTCTTTTGGGTCTAATATATTGTTGTTGATTGTTTAGGCTACAACTGTTCATCCTCTCTACCTTCACGAAAGGAGTAGCGATCTGTGCGGCCCCGCTGCCAATGCGGTCGCTGCAGTCTGCTGCAGTCTGCTGCAGTCAGCTGCGGTCAGTGCGGTCTGCTGCAGTCTGCTGCGGTCTGCTGGTTCTAACTTACTCTTCTCAATCAAATTTTGGCGATTGTTTTCCTTTAATATGCCAATATTTGTTCTGATTCCTTTTCTCATTGCATATCCCTATTTTACTCCCGCTCGCGTTTGTCTTTTGGGTCTAATATATTGTTGTTGATTGTTTAGGCTACAACTGTTCATCCTCTCTACCTTCACGAAAGGAGTAGCGATCTGTGCGGCCCCGCTGCCAATGCGGTCGCTGCAGTCTGCTGCAGTCTGCTGCAGTCAGCTGCGGTCAGTGCGGTCTGCTGCAGTCTGCTGCGGTCTGCTGGTTCTAACTTACTCTTCTCAATCAAATTTTGGCGATTGTTTTCCTTTAATATGCCAATATTTGTTCTGATTCCTTTTCTCATTGCATATCCCTATTTTACTCCCGCTCGCGTTGTCTTTTGGGTCTAATATATTGTTGTTGATTGTTTAGGCTACAACTGTTCATCCTCTCCACCTTCACGAAAGGAGTAGCGATCTGTGCGGCCCCGCTGCCAATGCGGTCGCTGCAGTCTGCTGCAGTCTGCTGCAGTCAGCTGCGGTCAGTGCGGTCTGCTGCAGTCTGCTGCGGTCAGTGCAGCAGTCTGAAACAACCTTTAGCAAGAGGTCGCACTATTCCAAGATACGTTGCCAATGACTGTCGTGTTGCCGGCGTAGCCGCTTGAAAGCACGTAGCGCACTGCGACTACTATAGTATAACCAAAGCTGCGTTTCTAACGTCCACGCTGGAAACGCGGGCAACGTATGGCCAAACTAAGGCCCGCCTGCACGACAGTAGTCTGTCACATTCGGATTCGAGCCGAAGCGTCGGTAGCAAGACTTCTTATAAAGCTTTCCGCTCCTGTTCAATATGTTCATATTGAAGGAATGTAAGAATACTTACGGATAGGTATACAGCGTGAAGTCCAGATATCTGGAGCTTCAGGATATGAAGCTTTCTTTGTAAACTGCAATCCCCTCCCCAACGGGGATGTTAATGCATGCGGAGCATAGTCTGCCACAATCTAATCAGGTCAAAACTAGCATGGCAGGATTCTCTAGCGGTTTTCTTTGGCCTCTTCGCTCTACAGTGCCCACATGCAGCGATGCGGCGCAAATTCGCACCG